AATGGCTCTGTCAGACAAATTGGTAATCACTGTTACTGCTTATTTGTGTTAGTATATAAGCTTTAACTCTAAGCAATAACTTTTCTATTATTATCGAAGTATGACTCTTTTTTATCTTACAAAAAATTTACTGGTATATGCTTTTTTAATCTAGTTTGAAATTATTAGTGCTACTTTCGTTAACATTGGTATAACTAGTAAGCAATGACTTTTCCTCTCTTGATTGCTGCTGCCAATGCTCGGTTTTTATATTTTGTTTGTAATATTTTGGCTATCTGTCTTTCAGTACAATTGCTACTTCCTGATTTTTGTCTTGTTAATTTTCTAACCCTGCTTGCTTTCATTATTATTTTTTCCAGAAACTATCATTCCCATTTGTCCCCCGGCTTGTGGAACAGGCAGATACGCTGGTGGTGCTGATGCTATTACAACAAGTGTTGCACTTGTTTTCATCTCTGCTATTCTTGTCCTTTTCCATCGGTAATATTTTTGATATTATGTTAAGTTGCGCACGATTGACACTAGTGCACTATTCTCACTTCATATTATCATCTTAAAATTTCTAGAGTTACAGTCTCTTAAAGAGTTAATTGTCACTGTCAGGATGTGTTTCATTTTTGTTCTGCATGTTTATTATTCTTTTTACAAATTACAAATGATTTTGCTGTGCATGGAAACGTATGCATAGGTTTTAAATTGGTCATTATCATGTACATCACTTCTTTTCCAATTATTTTTCTCTACGTTTACTATTACTTGTGGTGACTAATTAGTTTTTGATTTTTTTACAGAAACTTCAACTCCAGACATTAGACACAGGTTCTTAGTATCAAAAAATGGGTGTCCATCATTATTATCTATACCATTAATTGGTTTTAGGGCCCTTGTATTTGTAACTGTCAACTTTGTTTTCTCACAACTCACTCAACCTGGTTGATACCCTTTGTGGTATTAGGTAGGGATGAGGCACTTACAACAGCAGTTTTTTGTGATGTTTTGTGTGATATGATGCGAGTCAGTTCCATTCATAGTTCCCTAATTTGGGGATGAAGGTAACTATTCCATTCCATCATTTTTGGTTAGCTTTCAAACTGCCCTTCAACATACTGTAGATACATACTGTATTTATTTTAATCAAGGTTGACGTCATGGCAGTTAGATATTGCATATTTTTGTGAAGTCAATTCGGTACTTACTTTTCTAGTGGTTTATAAATTTATTTTTAAAATTCAAAATCTTGTAAAGTTTTTTGGAAGAACTGCCATTTATGTATGTGACGTTAGATACCCATATTTTGGATTGAAACTGTGTGAAGACTGAATTCTACTTACATTATCCTTTTTGTTCCAACATTGGGCTCTGGACCAGCAAACAATCTTCCTCCAATGTACCCACCATTCCTTCCATTGTCAATTTAGAGAGGCTTTGCAGGTTGATATTTGCCACTCTTTTATAGCTTTTGTTTGTGTAGCTTTCATGCTAGATTTAATTTTTAGCAATTGATTAGTTATTGCAGATACTGAACATTACACAGATCTGTATTTCCAATGGTTGTGATCAAACAGTCCCTCCACCAACATATTGTGAAACAGCATTCCATATTGTAATTGATTAATGATAATTTTCAATCAATTTCTTTGAGTATTGCACAATATGTCCATAACGATGAAGTTTAGGAAGCTAGATTTCAGTGGTTTTAATTAAGTGAATTCATTTTTAATTTGACTTTCTTTATTTTGTTAATGTTCTCTTTGTTCTTATGAACAAAACAAACCTGTCAAAAGCAATTGATTCCAACAAGCAAATCAATCAATTTCTATGAGTTTTGCACAATGTGTCCACAATTATGAAGTCTAGGAAGCTAGATTTCAGTTGTTTTATTTAAGTGACTCATTTTTAATTTGTTTTTTTGTTGATTTTTTTAAATGTTCACAGTGTTCTCATTTTTTTCTTATGAACAAAACAAACCTGTCAATAGCAATACAGTATCCTGATCAATTTTTAATGTAGAGGTTGTGCACATTTTACACTTACTTTGCAATGTGATTATTTTTCTTATCTTGTCTTTGCTTATACTTATAGATTAAGTTTAGTCTACTTAATTGGACCAAATGTAATTCAATTTAATACTCTCAATGTAAAGGTAGCTATTATCCTTTTTTAGTTTGTAAATTGGGTCGGTTTAAGTCATTAAGATCTGATTTTCTTTTTTACTACAGTATTTTTAAAAGCATTTGCACCTGGTATTTCATTGATATTTTAGCCATTTTTAAAACGCCTAGTGTATTACCTTGTCATTTTGTGTTCATCGGATACCTTGTCTCAGGTGTGCCATTTTAGTCAGTATCATCAGTGTTACCAGTTTGGGTGGTAATCTTCAACTTGAGCTATTACCATTCCTCAAAATTGTAAGGCCAGGGAAGATAGACTTGAATGTCGGTGTATTTTTATTCTGGTGTGAATTTTCAGTTAAATTTCACTTAGTGGTTTTTAATTATGATAATTTCAGGAGAGTTCAATTTCCACTCTCTGTAATGGTTGACGAATGGCTCTGTCAGACAAATTGGTAATCACTGTTACTGCTTATTTGTGTTAGTATATAAGCTTTAACTCTAAGCAATAACTTTTCTATTATTATCGAAGTATGACCCCACTTTTTCTCACTGTCTATCATCTTATAATATCTTCAGCTATGTGGGAAAAAGTTAGTTTATGTAAAATATGAATTATTTATTTGATTCTACTGGCTTCCATGGCCTTTTGCCATTGGCCCAGTGCTGTAAATTTTCTCTACTACAGAGAGTAATCTTGTCATGCTGAACAGGACATTAATTTGTGATGTCCATCAATTTTGCAGGTAAAAGAATAACATATCAAATGCAAATGTTGCACAACTTAATTCCAAGCTGACTATCTGTAGTAATCCAGGGGCAGTACATTTAAGGTGACTTAGCAAATTGCATGGAAGGTCAAATAAATAGCCAACTTTTCGTACATTGACAAATAATAGTTTTATTTGAAGTTTAATCCTATCACCTATTTTTCTTTCCCACCATCTCCAATTTCTATTTCTCCGTGTTTCTTCATGATTTCATCAAGTTTGTGAATATCTTTTAGAGAAACCTGCCCAGTGCCCCTTGCTTTGGGCTTGGGTTGGGAAGGATCTGGCTTCCACCCAAGTAAGTAGTACACCTAGTCAGATAACACACACACACACACAAAAATAATTAAAACAAGTTTGAGAACAGGCCAAGTGCATGATTAAGGTGAATTTGACTACCTGGAAGGAGGCTGGGACTGCTCTTGTGCCATCTTTGCCATTATTATTGCCATAAATGGTTTCATAAATAGCAGCTGCTGCCATAAGTGTTTCTCTAGGAAGGCTTAATTTTCTATTTCTTGCTGCATTGCTTTCGCCCATCCCTGAAAAGGCAAGAACCATTAAGAATGTATCCTGGAATCTCAACATTTCAAGTTATAACTCTTAGGTACCTTTTAGATCCCACATAACTTCAAACATTGAAGGGTAATTAATGACAATCTCATCTGTGTCTATTGTGAGCATTGTGAACTGTGCTCTTTGAAGAAGACCACCTATGTCACGGACCTCTGCAAATGGTGATATATGGGCAGCTAATCCCCCTTGACGCTCAAGCTCAGCCATTTGTAAAGAACACCTACATAAAATGAAGGACAAAAATAAGTAAAAAGGGAAATTTGATACAGAGTACTTCGGGAAAAACTATGATCCTGTAATGTAAGCCCCTTACCTGAGCTCAAAAAGTGTATCTCCACCAAATACTGATGCTAAAAAGCAGCCATCATTTTTTAAACATCTATTAATCTGAGCAAATGTTCCTGGAAGATCGTTAACCCAGTGAAGACTAAGGTTGCTAACAAACATATCAATGGAGTTCGGTTCAAATGGAAGATTTTCTTCATCGACAACCAAGCGTTGACATTTCACAGCCTCTTCAGCGCCTGTAGCCTGTTTTAGGTGGGTTGGGCTCAAATCACACATTACAAGTTCCTCTACGGAGGATGACAAAATATGTCTAGACACATAACCACGGCCACATCCCAAATCTACGACTTTACCAAATTTACGCTTGATGTCTAAGATTCGTTCAGATAGTCGAAATCCGACTTCTTCTTTAAGATAATCATACACAGCTACGTCAGGATCCATAGCAGCTCTTTCTTTTTGAATGCGTTTAGCATTTCTATCAAAAATATTCATTACATTTTCCTCTGGAGCATTTCTCACAGACCCAGAGTAGTGACATCTTTGATCATTGCATAGGCCACTTGAGGATGTAAGGAAAGCCTGAAAAATATGTGGTAATGTTTAGTCGGACTACTGATAAAGAATTAATTGTCACTGATGTTAGGATTAATTTTTAACTAAAATAGTGTGAGGCTAAAAATTGACAGGTTACAGGATGGTATATGGAGTTCTCCTCAAAGCCCAAACCCAAAACCAGTACACAAAGTAATCAAAATTCTCAAAAACTGAAATTTAATTTTCTTTTTACCGTTTTCTTGGACAAACAACTTTGTTTAGCAACAATACTTCGTAAAAGTTTCATTATTAATTGAAATGTTTTGAAAAAATAGTCGTCTGCTTCAGTTGGTGAACAAATGCTGGGAACTACGCAATGTAGCCAACTATCCACCCCGTTAGGGAATGTTATTCGTGTTAGAAAACTAAGATAAATGGCATATAACAGCAAATTTAAAGGATATAATCACTTAGTATGTTGCAGAAACTTCGAAAATAAGGATTTTGAAGCAAAAGGACCCCCTCCAAAATTATTCTTTTTCTTTTTAGGTCGATGTGCAAGGGCGGAAGCCGAGAGAGCGAATGGCGCATCGCTCCGACTTGGGTCGTCGAGCCGACTCGATCCCAAATCCCAACCAATCCCGACCTCTCCGCCCCGTTAAAGCCGCTACCGATTGGGCAGGTTGTGTTCGATGTGAAATCATACTACAGGAGGCTCTTATGGATACGCAAAGTTCGGGCAGTCAGGATGAAAAGGAAAGCGACGGAGAGCGACAAAGAAGCTCGCTGTACTTAAACCTTTCAACCTGAACAGTGTCTGAGTTGCGCGCAATTTTTGAAGGTTGTTTTTTTTTTTACTTTTTTTTTTACGAGGCGTTGCGCAATGTTAACAGTGGCGGTCCCGTTGCACTGGTTGGGTTTCAACTGCGTGTCCCTTTAGACCCTACCCTGTCAATAAAACACAAGGGAGAGGGAAGACCTGAAGACCACTCATTGCCGTGTGTATTCAGAGTTCCGAGTGCTGACCGTAAGGACCATGGGCTAGGGCCCCTTTCAGCCGCAGCGCGTGAGGTAAGCCCGCGCTGCACGCGAACATAGATGCGCCTGTGACGTATATCGCACTGCACTGTGCACACACACACCCCGTATCGCCTTTCATGGGGGATCAGTTTCAAGCTGACTGACTGACCGCTCCCCGTCTCCTCCCCATCCCCACCATACGCCTGCTTCGCGTTGGCGTCGTATGCACTCTTTGCAGGCTTCCCCGCACCCTGGACCGAGTTAAGTCAGTGCAAAGCCGGGAGCGCCGGGGGAAATAAGTGTCCACTCTTCGTCTGGTACCATGGCTGAGTACGGCTACACGGTAAGTCCGAGGGGCCAGCTGGAGTGCTCCCGATGTAATCCACGTACTGCGGGTGTACCATGTACTCCGAGTTACTCCGAGTGTATTCCAAGAGTGTTGTGTTACGTGAACTCCAGGTGTGCCCCTCCCCCACAAAAAAAAAAATCGATTCGTCTACCCTGGGGTGAATCTCTCATTATCGTTTGGCTTATGAATTGAGAGAACCCGGTCACAAATCACTGCTGGCCTGCTGGCGCGAGTCCCCATTCCCTCCAACTTCAGCAGGGGCACCAGAAAACCAAAAATATGTAGTTTTCGACCGGCGAGTTTCTTACTAGCAGTGACCCGTGTGATAGACTTTGCAGGGCGCTTGCTCGACGCACGCTGGCTGCCCGACCCAAACTGAGGTGGCGATTACCATGCGTGCGACGGAGACGTTTGAGTTTCTTAATTATAGCACGACGCCTAAGCTAAGAGATTTTTACGTTCGTTTTCCTCTGGTTCGTACGGCAAATTACGTGAGCTCGGCGCCTGCGAGACTCGGGGTAGGCCACCCCGCGGTACACGCGTGCACTGCAGGCGAGGTGTTGCCTACCCAGCAGGCGCCATGGGAGTGCTGGGGCTGGACTCGACAAGTTCGTATCGGCGCGAATGACGGGCATAGTTTCTGCGCGACCCCAAAGCAATCAGTTTGCACACAATGCACAACTGCATCGCCGCCGGGCGGGGGCCTTGGGTTTACCCAGCAGC